AGAATCATCTGGGACACAGCAGAAATGCCATCTGGTCCTTTCTATCTGCCTTGTGATCTAATGACAGCTGATTTTTTTTTTTTTTTTTTGCCATTATACATGAAGACTTCTAAGGGAAGAGAAAGCAAAGTTAAGTTGTATAGAGGTATAAAGTTAGAGGTATAAAGTTGCTTATTTTGGCAGAAATCAGAAAGTGTAACAGGATACTTTGGAAAGTCACTGAAATGTTCTAAAAGACCAATCGATTTTGAATATACCAGCTGTACAAAGACAGGGAGGAGTTACCAAGAAACCAACAGCATCATGTTGTGAGCTCTAGGACACAATGAGTATTGATTGATAAGTCTTAGGCAGAGAAATGTGAGGAACACTGTGGCAAATATCAAGATTCTGCAGATAAGGTACCTGATCTTGAGAAACCTCTAGGAGAGGGTCTAACAAATGTGAAAGAAATCTTCGGGGCTCATACTGCAATATAAACTGACTACTAAAAGGGAATAATGACATGCTGCCATTTTGAACAGAAGAAACAGGCCTTTTCAAATTGTTGTGGATATTAAAAGAGTCAGCATTATTAAATAGAAGTGCCTTAGGACTGGGAAAAGGGGAAGGAATAGGTAGAAAAGCTGATGGATGTTAAGAAGAAAAATAAAATTGCCAAGTGTTTATCGACTCCTGGGGGTACTTGAGACCCTTTCAAGGAGCTTGTGAGGCCAAAACTATTTCCATAATAATATTAAGATCTTATTTACTTTTTTATTGTGGTAAAAAACATACAATTTATCATCTTAACCTTTTTTTTTTTTTTTTTTGTATTGAGGATTGAACGCAGTGACACTTTATCACTGCACCACATCCTCAGCCTCTTAATCACCACCATGCCCTGCTCATCTTAACCATTTTTAAGTGTGCAGTTCAGCAGAGTTAAGTATGTTTATATTGTGGTGAAACAGTTCCCAGAACTTTTTCATCTTGCAAATCTGGAACTTTACACTATTAAACAACTTCCCTTTTCTCCTTTCTGCCAGCCACTTGTCTCTACCATTTTACTTTCTGTTTCTATTAATTGTACTACTTTAGATACATCATGTAAATGGAATCGTACAGTATTTATCTTTTCATGACTAGCATATTTCCCTTGGCATAATGTCCTAAAGCTTCATCCGTTGGTGTATGAAAGGATTTCCTTCCTTTTTAAAGATGAATAACATTCCTTTGTATGTTCATACCACATTTTGTTTATCTGTTCATCTTTTGCTGGACACTTTGGTTGCTTCCACCCCTTGACCATTGCCATTGTATTTGCCTTTTTCAACTGGCATCTGTTCTGATGGTATAAAAGCAATGGTGAGTAAAATCAAAGTAGAGGCACCAAATCATACTAGTAGTTATTGTATTCTTCATTGTCATACAATAATAATGGGAAAAATCCAGTTCCATGTAGTATATTTTGGGGTGAGATGAGAGTAGGTATTAAGCAGTTTTGCATACAATAGTTGTCTTGATGAAAATCGCTTATGCAATTGGTTATGAGCCAAACCTAGTTGCTTTTATTATGGAACACAATTTATACTTGAAAGAAGGAATGTCAGAAAAATTAAAGTTCTCAGACTTAGAGGTTTCCTAGACATTTTCTTGAAAATGAAGTAATTGGGCATGGGTGCATGCATGCCTATAATCCTAGTGATTCAGGGGCTGGAGCAGGAAGATTGCAAGTTTGAGGCCAGCCTCAGCAACTTAGTGAAACTCTGTCTCAATATAAAAAATAGAAAAGACTGGGGATATAGCTCAGTGGTAAATTGCCCCTGAATTAAAACCCTACTACCAAAGAGAGAGGTGGGGAGGGGGAGGGGGAAGGGGGGGAAAGAACGTGTATGAAGTAAATCTTATCGAAATGAAAACAACTGTCAGAATTTATTGCCAATGATAAAATTTGAACTTGCAAGGAAAAATTAGAATTTTGGAAAACTACGGCTGCAGTTTTGAATTTGGTAACTTTCCAAGAGTTGAAAAATTTTTGAGCAAGATTGGTGCTTATATTAATGAATGTAGTTTATGACACTATAGAATGCTATGTGTCAACATTAGGAAGATTTGCATAATTTGGTGAACTAATGTTTTCCAGTATATGATGTTACAAAATCATGCTTAGGGAAAAGCCACACAAAGTGCAAGTTAAGGGATGGGTTTGTGGCTCAGTGGTAGACCATTTGCCTAGCATGTGTGAGGCAATGGGTTCAATCCTCAGTACCACATAAATAAGTAAATAAAGGTATTATGTCCATTGGCAACTAAAAAAATATTTAAAACAAAAACAAAGTGCAAGATAAAACAGTAGATTTTTCTTTCCCCTGGTACTGAGTATTGAACCTAGAGACACTTTGCCACTGGGATCCATCTCCAGTTCTTTTTATTTTAATTTTTTTTTTATTTTGAGACAGAATTTCATTGAGTTACTGATGCTGGCTTTGAACTTGCAATCTTGAGACACTGTGCCCCAATAAACCAAGAGATTGAAAACCAAATGAAAAGTTCTTGAATAGGGTTTTAGATTCCCACTGCAACTAATCTTTAAGAAATTCTACCTGTTTTGAGTTATAGGATAGTAACAAAAGAATATCCCCAGTGATTTCAAAAGTGCTATTAAAATACTCCTCCTTGGTCTGGGGATGTAGCTTAATGGTAGAGTACTTGCCTAAAGGCCCCAGCATTAAACTTTTTTTTTTTTTTTAAATACTCCTCTCTTTTCCAACAACATATGGGAGGCTGGATTTTCTCTCAAATACTTAACCAAAACAATATATTTTAGCAGATTGAATACAGAAGCAAACATGAGAATCTAGCTATTATCTCTTAATCTAGGCTTTAATACATTTGTAAAACTGTGAAATAATACCACTCTTCTAATCTTGCAAATGCTTTTTTAGAAAATGTAGCCTATTTACATAGAAATGTTAATATGTAATGAAGTTTTTATTTTATCTAAGTGAACAAATGTTTAAAAAATTTCTGTTTTATTTTATAATATATCAAATGCAGATAGATGCACATAAAAGTTCTTGGGTGTCCAATGATTTTTAAGAATATAAAAGAGTCCTGATACTCTAAAGCTTGAGAACCAATGTTCTACAGAAAAGTAATTCAATAACAGGAAGAGGTAGGATCTAGAATCTTGGCAAAGGGAGACAGAGAGGGTGGTTATCATAGGAGGAAAGCAAAGACCTGTGAAACATGTGAAGTAAAAAGACCACTGTGATGGGAAATAAGAAGCCATTTTGGGATGGAGGTGCATTATCTTTCCTGTTTTCATTTCAATCTAAAATAATCCTGCGGTCAGCACTTGCAAGAGTTCTGTAACTTGAGTCTAGACTTTGACCAGCTTTCATGTGACAGGAGTGAGTTGTGAATTGATCATTGGATTCTGAACCCAGGACAAGCCCAGTAATTTGATTAGTTTGGGTAGGTTCTTGGTGAAATGGGAACTTGAGGATTGTAAACTTTCTTATGTGTAACAGATTTGTACCACCTGCTTTATTTCCAGAAACTCCTATTTTAGGTCCAGATAAAACTTCTACCTTACCTTGCCTTATGCAGTAATTTATGGCATTATATTAAAGCACAAATGTATGTTCTCATTTTTAAAATATGTATTTTGCATTATAGGATAGAATAGGTAGGTGCTCAGTATCTATTTTTGATTATAGAACTATCTCTAGATGCTCTTTTTCCCCCCTTAAGTTTGCTTTATTTCAACAGCAAGGAATCTATATGGTCTGAAAAGCAATGTGGACTCACCAATAAACACAGGCTAGATTGATCTGAGGGATGTGATATGTTCTGATTAGGAGTAGATTTACAATGAAGCTAATGATACCTACACTTCAAGCCAGTCACTTGCATGGACTCCTTTTGTGTTTATAACTTTGAATCTTTTTTTCCCCTTAAAGCTTTGCAAAATATATTTGTTAGGGATCTATATATTTGGAGTTAACTCCAAAGACAATGTTTGATGAGCAAGGCATAGATAAGGAAGGGAGTTTAGGTATAATACTTGGAAAAATATAGAGCCTAACTCTCAGGGGATGTATTCAGATAATAATAATTGTCTTAGCTCAACGCATAGTAATACTTATTCAAAATTATGATCTGTGTACCCGCACAGTATGTCATCTTTGTCATTTGAAGCCTTTGAATGAGAGTTAGCTATACTTATAGTTTTCAGGCATTCAGGTTCTGAGGGAATTTTAGTATTAATCAAAGCCTCAGTGCTCAGAAGCATTTTATCAATTCTTCTTTTCTTTCTGGACTTTTCAGCCCTTTTCTCCAGGGAGTCTTCTGCTGTTTGCTCTCCTAATATTTATCCAGTCAGTCATAATAGCAGCAGCTGTGCAGCAAACCACTGCCTAGCTGCTTGGTATGTGTTCTGAAGATAGATACTATTTTTTTTTCTTCTTTTGCAGTGCTGGGGATCAAACACGGTTTCACACTTGCTAAGCATACACTGTACCACTGAGCTACACTCCCAGCCCCTGATAGATCCTTTTAGTTCTCCTTATTTTATAGATGGTTATATATTCAAAAGATAAATAGTGATTATATATTCAAAAGATAAATAGAAAAGAAATGATTAACATAGTTATCTAAAGTGTACAACAAATCACCTCCAAATTTAGTGGCTTTTAACAACAAAACTCAATAGTTTATTCTGACCTACAAATTCTTTAGTGTTTGGTAAAAGATTTGTTAGCCCAGCCAATTGTAGAACTGCCCTAAACATGTGGGGTGGGGAGTAGCATTAGTTATCTAATTTTATTGGCCTCTAGGCAAGTCAACCAGCTGTCACTGAATATGCAATAGTAAATATGGCCAGTATTGTTTCATTGTTTCATTAGGACTTATAGTCCTGTGTGCTTAGCTCATTTAGGCAATTAATGAAGACTCTTGAACAGATGGTGATGCTTCTCATGGACCTGGCTACTCTCTCTTTTTGCCTTGTTTAGGTATTTGGCTCGGGTAGGAGAACTTGAAGCTACAGATACTGAAGATCCAAATCTGAATTATGGACTTGTGGTGGACTGTGGTAGCAGTGGCTCCCGGATTTTTGTTTATTTCTGGCCAAGACATAATGGGAACCCCCATGACTTGCTGGATATCAAACAGATGAGAGACCGCAATAGCCAACCTGTGGTTAAAAAAATCAAGCCAGGTACTAATCAGAATGTCTTTTGTTGATCTCTTTTATCTATTGTAGGCATGAAAGAGAAGAGAAGGGGGGGAGAAAATCTCCCCCTTTTATTGTGGGAGTCTGGGTAGTGAGAGAAATATTTTATTCATCGTAGCCCTCCTTTCAAATAAATAAAAACATGGGGTCTTAAGCAGAACCTTATGGGGTATCAGTTTTCTGAAGCTAATGTGATCTACTTTTTAAAGAAAGTGTTTTTTTTTGTTTTTTTTTTTTTTTTTACTTAAGGAATCTCTGCAATGGCAGACACTCCAGAACATGCCAGTGACTACCTTCGTCCTCTGCTGAGCTTTGCTGCTGCTCATGTGCCTGTGACGAAGCACAAGGAGACCCCCCTTTACATCCTCTGCACAGCAGGCATGAGGCTTCTCCCTGAGAGGTGCGATGCTGGGTCTTGAAAGACACAGAAAAATGGGTGATGAAAGGGATGAAAGGCCAGTGCCACTCACTGCCCTTTGGTTTCTGGTCTGGAGATGGATGTGAATACAACACGCAGAATTGACAGGTGGCATGAGAAGATTCATTGTTCAGAAATAGAGCAGAACCACTCTATACCCAGTTTTGATGAAAGGCTGGTTGTTGATGATCAGCTGTTCACATCTTCATGTCATTTGCTTATTTGGGATCAGTATCTGAGAGGGCCATAGTGATTCTTAATTTGGATTGAGAGTTGGGCATGGTGGTGACGGTGATAAATTGGAATCATGAAGCACCCCCACTTCTTACATCTTTGGAGGAACCTCATGTTGTTTCCCATGACTGTTGCACCACTTTGCATTCCCACTAATAGTATACCAGGGTTCCAGTCTCTCTATGTCCTCACCAACACTTGTTGTCTTGTTTTTTGATAATAGCCATCCTGACAGGTGTGAGGTGATTGTCCTGTTGTGGTATTAATTGTGTTTCCCTGCTGAGTAGTGACTTGGAACATTTTTTCTTATGCCAGTTATTCATTCATTTGTCTTTGTGGAAATGTCTGATCAGGTCCTTATCTCATTTTAAAATCAGGTTATTAGTTGGTTTTGTTTTGTTTGCTATTGAGTTTTAAGAGCACTTTAATAAAGATTAACCCCTTACCAGATATGTAGTTTGCAAGTATTTTTCCATTCTGTTTATTGTTTACTTTGTTGTGCAAAAGCTTTTTAATTTGACATAGTCTCGCTTATTTGTTTTGGTTTTGTTGCCTGTGCTTTTGGTGTCATACTAATGCCATCATTGCCAGCCTTAACTTTAGGACCCAGGCTCCAGGAATATTGTAGTCTCATGGACGGCAGGCTTTTATCATTAGCTTAAATATTTTCTGTTTGTAAATAGCGATTCCCTTTTCCACAAATTTCAATTTTATACTTGGCCTTTCTTTTCTAAAAACAACAACAACAAAACTTCAGCATACATATAAGGCTCATGCTGCTTATGTTGGACCTGCCAGGTTACATAACATGTGTCAACACTCCTTTGGGTGGACTTCTTTCCTTTTGTTTAGACTCATAATAAGAGGTTTGCTGTCTGATTTACTGTTGAGAAGCAGATTATTTATATAACTTTTTGTCAACTCGAGAGGTCTTCTGGCTCCTTGTAGATTTCACCATAAATCTTGGTCTTTTAAAAGATTCATCTTATTTTATTTAATTTTAAATAAAAATAATCTTTAAATATTGTAGCTACAACCTTACATCACTAAAGGAAATCTTTAAAGTAAATCAAACCAAACAAAAACTTTACAATCTTACTGTCAAAACTATTTCATTTTGTCCCAATTTCTTTGTACATCTATATGTAATTCCTGTGAAGCTGTAATTATCCTGTGCATGCAATTTAGAATGTTTGTTTTTGACACAGGTAATATTAAAATTGTTTAAAAATTTAGAAATCATGAAAAGAGTCTAGGTGACACAAAATGGTAATGCCACATCACAGAATCTGAGAATGACCAGAGGTCTCACAACCAAAGAAGTAGGAGGAAGGCCAGAGAAAAATGCTGACTCAGAGATCAAAAAGGCAGAGCCAGCAGGGCTAGGTAGCGGAAAGTAGTGGGTGGTTTGGCCACCTTTTGTAAGTCTGGAGCAAAGGAGACAGTTGCCTCTTCTCCTGGCATCAGTATTGCCTTGGTCAAAGAAGTTTCCATTGAGACAAAACCCACAGTGTAGCTTAACTTTACTGTCTATCTGTGATGTTAGCTATCAGTGTGAAAGTTCTAAATTTTAATATTTATTTTCTTTTAAGAACTTTTAAAAAAATTGTCTTTTTGTTTGTTTGTTGTTGTTTTCTGATCACTTCTCTCAATAATTCATACATCTGTCTTGGGATTAATAAGATCATTCATTGCTGCCTGTAAGGTCAAGCTAGTTGTTGACACAAGTATGGATATCACTGCAAGATCCTGTTTTGTATGATTAATGTTTTGCTGTTTTATTAGCATTTGTGGGTAATATTCAATGTGGAGTTGAATCATGAGGACTATTTTAAATTTATTAGCACTTGGTTTTATTTCTTTGCTAAGAACCTAATAGAATTTTTTCTACTTCCCTTTTATTTTCTAGTAGAAATACCCATAATAAAATTACAAAGGTAATACAGGGTTTAATAAAAAACATTATAGGAAATTTCAAATGCATATAAGAGTAGAGAGAACAGTACAATAAGTCCATTTTACCTACCACCCAACTTCAACAGTTACCAACATTTTGCTATTAAGTTTTTTAAATAGCAAAAATAATATTGAATTTTAGAAAATGAGTTTTATTTCTATACAATATAGGAAGAGTGTTTTTTGTTTTTAACATAAATGGGATCAGATAATATGTACTATTTTGTACCCTAGTAGAATTCAACAAAATATACTGAACTTCCTTTCATGTTAATATGTATAGATATATATTGATCTCATTTCTTCTAACATTTGTATAGTATTACATTGTAAGGATGTGCCATAAGTTATTTAACCAACACCTATGTTATTATGCTATTTCCAGTTAGTCATTGCTACAAACAAATAATGCTGCTATATTCTTTATTTCTTAAGATGAATTTCTAAAAGTATAACAGCTGGATCAAAGGTTAAGCACATGTAAAATTTTGGAATAGTCTTAGATTGCTCTTTAGAAAGGTGGTGTTGGTAATTTACATTCCAAATAGCAGTGTGGGTTGGTGCCCATTCTTCATATCAGTACCAAACCCAGCAAGTCCTCCCTTTTGGTTAGTTTAGAAGCATATTTAATAGGGAGGGACAAATAATTCCTCTTGTTTCCCATGTGAATTTCTTATAAGAATTAACATATTTTGGGTAATAATGAGTGAAATGCATTCCACTATTGTCATGTATGTAAAAAATTAATTAATTAATTTTAAAAAAAGAATTTAACATTTTAACAGTGAACTTTTAAAAGAAATTATAAATGAATTATATTAGATGATTATTAACTCAAGTATAATTCTGCACACTTCAGTGCTCACAGCATCCTTCACTATCTGAGTCTAGAATATTTTTATAATGAATAATTTTGAAAACCCAAGATATTGGTCTCATTTTTTTCACTAGCAGTTTCCCTATATTCACATTATTATTATCTGCTTTGTTTCTTTGCTTTTCTTTGCCTTATAATAATGATAATATTCTTAAAGAGGAAAAACAACCTTATAGATACTGTTTCAAATGTCATCCTCCAGTTGGAAATGTTATGAACTTTGTATTTTGAACCTGATCTATGTTTTCCAGCGATAAGATTTATATAAAGAAAAAAAATTGATGAAACATGGAAAAGGAGATTAAAAAGTTAATATATTAAGGATTATATAAAAACCTGTGGAACTAACAGTACTTCTTAGATGGTAGTGTGAGCCTTATTTCTGTATTGTGTCAGATCTGAGGCTGGTCCTTAATATATTTCATAATAGTTAGGAAAAATGTAATTACTATTTTTTAAAATTTTATTTTTTATTCTATTTTTTAAAATTTTATTTTTTATTCTAATTTGTTATATATGACAGCAGAATGCATTAAAATTCATGTTACACATATAAAGCACACTTTTTTGTATTTCTGGTTGTACACAAAGTATATTCATACTATTCATGTCTTCATACAGATACTTAGGGAAATAATGTCCATCTCATTTCACCATCTTTTTTAAAACCCTTGCCCCATCTCTTCCCCTTCCCTCCCCTTTGCCCTATCTAGAGTTTGTCTAATCTTCCCATGCTCCCCCTTCCAACCTCACTATGAATCAGCCTCCTTATATCAGACAAAACATTCAGCATTTAGTTTTTTGGGATTGGCTAACTTCGGCTAACATTATATTCCTCCAACTCCATCCATTTACCTGCAAATGTCAAGATTTTATTCTCTTTTATTGCTGAGTAATATTCCATTGTGTATAAATACCACATTTTCTTTCTTCATGCATCTACTGGCAGGCATCTAAGTTGGTTCCACATGAAACTGCCACAGTTTCCTGTAGCTTATTCATACTCACCCTCTCCAGGGCAGAGATCCATAGTCTCATCTTTTAGCACCATTTAATGTTATATGTAATGTTAAATAAGGAGAAGGTATTACTATTTCTATATTGCCTTTAATGTGAGGGCTAACTTAGGATGCAGTTTAAACTTTTGAAATCAAGGAGGTACCAAAAAGAAGCAGGGCTGTGGATGAGATGGGTGAACAGCAACATCATACAAGACTAAGTAGAAGGACAAGTTGAGGCAATGTGTGAGAAGAGAGATTTTATTGTTTTGTTTTTTCTTTAAGAGATGAAATCTTCTCATGTTGCCCAGGCTTGACCCCAAACTCCTGGGCTCAGAAATCTTAAAGTGATCCTCCTACCTCAGCCTCTTGAGAAGAGAATTAATGATTAACTTTTGGATTTTTGTTCTTTTTTGCAGGAAGCAGTTGGCTATCTTGGCTGACTTAGTGAAAGATTTACCACTGGAGTTTGACTTCCTCTTTTCGCAGTCTCAGGCGGAAGTGATCTCTGGGAAACAGGAAGGTATGGTCCTCAAGGAGTACAGCTGCGTCACTTCTCAGCCAGTCATAGCCGAGGCTCTCCTGATGGTGTTTAGGACTGCTTTATATATCTGATTTTTATCTTCCTGTCTAGAATTTTCTTATTGTGCTATACAGTTTATTTTATATTCTGCATCGGTATCCGTTTTAGACCGCTGTTTCTCAAAATCATAGCTTTATATCTGGTTTTAATTTAGTACTAAGCACTGTGCTTAGACTTTATTAGTATTTAATGATAATTCCAAATGAATCTTTGGTTAATTAACTGTACTTGTGAAAACATATATAGTTCTGGGAGTTGTATTGAGTTTTCCAAATTCAGATGGAAAGCAAATTATTAGACTAAAGTAAGGGAGGATTTTAATTTCAGAGAAAGATCAGGATGAGTTACTTTTGTTTTGTTATAGACTTTCTCTTATTTGAAGTTACTGTGCAATTTTTATACTACCCTATATACTTATGTTATTTGGTTTGTACTTTGGGGCAAAATTGTCCAGATGTGGACAGTATGATGAATTGTCTTCATTTCTTAACAAGGGGGAGGGAAAAGATTTTCCTTTTTAAATTTCAGAATTGGCATTTTACAGTCCTAAAATTTACATTTTCTTCTTAATATTCTATTATTTTCTGAGACATTCTGTCTTTCTCTTCATTGTAAGACTACTCATATTTCTTGTTTATCTAGCTGCCTTAATGCTTTTGGCTGATAATTCCAGTGCACATGTCATGTCAGGGTTGGCATCTTTGGACTTTTCTTTCCCTTATGAGTTGAGACTTTCTTGGATCTCTTTTTTTTTTAATTTTTTTTTTTTAGTTGTAGATGGACACAATATTTTATTTACTTATTTGTATGTGGTACTCAGGATCGAACCCAGTGCCTCACACATGTGAGGAAAGCACTCAACCACTGAACTACAACCCCAGCCCTCTTGGGTCTTTTTATGCCAACTTATTTTTTATTGTATTTTGGGCATTTTGAATATTATGAGACTCTTTGAGTCCTGTTTAAATCCTAATGAAAACATTGATTTTTTTTTTTTTTTTTTTTAATTTTAGTAGGCGGTCAACTTGGTAAGTTCAAGCTCAAATTCTTTTTTACCTTCTATGGGCTGTGACCCAATTAGTTCAATATTCAGAGCTCTGACACTGCTATTTGGATTTGTCCCATGTGTGTCAGCCAGCAGCAGTCTAGCACAGTGGCCTATCCTGTGTATTTCATACACAACTTTACTTGCTACTCTCACAACATCCCTGACACTTTATGCTTCCTTGGAGCTCATTTTCATGGTCCTCTGACAGAAAATCAGGCTTTTAATTTGTCCACTCTGTGAAGCACTTCCTGTAATTGCATGTGCTTCCAGAGCAAAGTGATGGGAGGACACAGAGAGAAAAATAAGCAATATGAATTTGTTTCATATGTGTGCACCTCTATTGTTGCATGATTGCCTGAGTTAGGAGGGAAACACAGTAAAAGAAAAAAAAAGCAAACAGCAGATTTTCCCTACTCTCTCTGAACCTAAGGAATCCCCTTTTCTGCTTTTTAAAGTTCTTTTTTTCCACACCTGGTACATACTTTCATGTTTCAAGCTGCTTTTGAGTCCAGGTCAAGCAATATCTAAGGAGAAAAAAAATGAGAGAACCACTACTGGTTTGGGGTACTTTAAATTCTGGTCTCTTTCTCATTGTACCCACTATCTTTTACCTTCAGAGTTCTCACAAAGCTGCTCCATCGACCCCATCCAGAGTGTATATTTGCATCCAGTGGAGAGATAGGATGAGGTGTGCTTACTCCATTTTTCCCAGATTCAGAACTCTAGGATTTACATTTTCAACACTCATTTTTATAGTTAATTCTTATTAATTATAGGAATTTGGAAGATACAGATACTTTAAAAAGGGGGGAAATTAGGGGCTGGGGATGTGGCTCAAGCGGTAGCGCGCTCTCCTGGCATGCGTGCAGCCTGGGTTCGATCCTCAGCACCACATACCAACAAAAGATGTTGTGTCCGCCAAGAACTGAAAAATAAATATTAAAAATTCTCTCTCTCTCTCTCTCTCTCTCTCTCTCTCTCTCTCTCTCTCTCTCCTCTCTCACTCTCTTTAAAAAAAAAAAAAGAATTGAACTACTTTAAAAAGCTTAAAAGCCATTATCTAAAATGTCAATAATGACAGCCTCAT